CTCTGCTCTGTACAGTGATGGAGATAATAAAAAGATACAATGAACCATCCCTACAAGAAGTTAAACAGTGGTGATGAAGTTGGTGATAGTGATGACTACGATCACCATAAGACAGACACAGATTTCAAAAAGATGACAATGACGGTCACGATCACCGTCCTCCGATAGATACAGACTTAAAAATACATGGAAGTTCAGACAAGAGGAACATGTCATTTAGGCAAAGATACCACACAAATATTGGCATTGAGTTGAGCAACAAAATACAAACAGGCTAAGGATATAGAAGAGACAAATGGTGGGGAAATGTCACAATCAGTAACAGTATGAGCAAAAGTATACTTCAGTCAAAACACCAGTGCTTCCAGTCCCATTCCCAGCCTGATTGATTTCTACTCCTTTTTCCAACTTTATGGATTGTTCTATAATGCCACAGCCTTTGTTTTCTAAACATGAAGTAGCCATGAGGGACTAAGAGCCAAAGGTTGTTACCCAGGCCATGACCGTCTTTCAGCCTGCTCGATACTATGCTTCTCATTGTCTCCTGATTTTCATACAATTCAAATCTATCATTTCTGCAAAGAGAATTTCAGAAACATAGCTGGCAAGAGTGGGTAGACCCTCAAGAGGAATTATAAGGTATCTAAGGAGCATAGGAATGGGCAAGAACAAAATAAGGAGTATGTTCAAAGTTTAGCTCAGCTTAGATAACAAAGTTAATGAATTCCCTAACAGACCATGTAGGGGGAAACAAGCAAAATCCAGTCTCTACTGATATCCAGGTATCTGCAAATGCTTACCTTGTGTTCCCATGAAAGAAAACAGAGAACTGAATTTGAAAACCAAAATAAGGCTAGTAAATTACTGAAAGGAGACAGTTCTTTTCCCTTGGAGACAAACCAAATTATGCATTGCCTCTCTCACCAGCAACATACTCTGGCTTGAACATTTTTAAAAGAAGGTTGCTGAACATCTGCTGAGCAATTAATGGAATGCAGGAGTGTGCTATAATGATCCCTGGGAAGGTTTTAGCAATCCTGCTTATGAGACATGAAATGTTGCAAACAATGGTCCTTTTCTATTTAAAAAAAAAAAAATTCCCTTCCTGATAGGGGTAGCAGAAGGAAAAGGGAGTTGAGGTTAAAGTTTGCATCAAAGTTGGCTTGACTATTTATCATTTATTCAACTTCCTCTTCCTCTTCCTAGTCACCTACTATGAATATGTTAATTTCAACTTAGTAAAAGAAATTTTAGTAAGTATCTCAGTCCACCAATCCTTTAACTTACTAAGGTTTCCATGAAAGACAAAGTCTAACATCTCCACAGTAAATATAGAGTCTAACACCTCAACGTTCAAGTAGTTTTGTTTTGTTTTTTCTAAATCAGGTAGCTAGAGCTAACTTAAGACCAATCTTAAATCAGAAACTGATGCCTCACACATTTTATTTCATTATCACAATTGTTGAAAAGTACCAATCTTGACACAAACCTTGTTTTATGCTATGAAAGCCCAGTCTAGAGTCACTGTGTATCTGAGGATACTCTCAGTAAAAATACTGTTATTAAAAAAACATGGACAAGCTCGTTGGACACGGGTGGGGGAGGTGGCATTCTTCTGGCCCGGCTTAGGTGGTAGCTGTGGACGCTGAAGGACACCCGCTGCGGAATTTGTGACTTTGGCAGAGGTTGAGATCATGGCAGGCCCAGAAAGTGATGCCCAATTCCAGTTCACTGGTATTAAAAAGTATTTCCACTCTTATACTCTCACAGGTAGAATGAACTCTGTACTGGCCACTTACAGAGGCATTGGTTTGATGATCTTATACTTCAAATTAAGGTCTAAAAAAACTCCAGCTGTGAAAGCAACATAAATGGATTCTGAAATGCCTGATCTCATCTGTTAAGTACCCATATTTGGAGAAGCTAATGTCAATCATCATCTAATACTCAATTTGTACAATAAATTATGAACCTGGAAAAAAAAAACACGGACAAACTCAATACATCAACAGTTACCAAGACTTACTCTGTCAGCTTTCTCTTTCTTTACTCAGAACTAATTATCCACATATAAGTTTAAATCTAGACTGGCTGCTGAGCCAGCCATGACAAACAGTTCAACAATGCCAATTGATTAGGTTCGAAATTTGACTGCCAAAAGACTCTATTATCAAATCCAATAGTAAAGAATCTCAAATAAATGCAATATTTGGCAAAGAATTTTCTCACTTTTTCCAAATTGGCCCACTGTAAGATTATACGTTTGCCTGGAATTGCATTTTTCCTTTTGTCATCTTGGTAACCTTGACTCATACACATCTGTTACAGAGATCTCTCACTTCAAATCTTAGTGTGGTTATCTGGATTGTCAATAACAAAATCTCCATTCTGCAGCCCTTCTTCCCAGGAATCTAATCCTGTTCTCGAACTCCCAGCTATGAATGAACTATGAACTCGATTTGGAGAAATTTTCAGGTCTCCCCAACTATACATTATTTCTTGCCATCTGGAGTTTACTCTACCATGAAGGGGCTTTCCACATGGAACTACCGATACATGGATGCCTTGGCATGCCCTTGCTGGATGAGTTTCATGGCCACGCCAGGGGCCAAGCTAGTCTTAGTCATCTAATTACCCACCCTTCAACTTGGTCTCAGCTGTAAACCAATTCTCTTTATAAGAAGGAGAGTTTCTTTCCCTTCCCCTTTCCTCCCCTCCACTTCTCTCCTCAGTATTGCTTCAATTCCTCTGCCTTCCCTTCCCTTGTTTCCTTTTTCCTTTCTTCTTTTCCTTTTTTTTTTTCTTTTTAAAGACAGGGTCCTGCTATTTTCTATGTATACCACTAGGGCCGTGAACCCACTATATCCCAGATTGGCCCTTGGACTCGACTCTTCTGCCTTGGCCTCCTGAGTGAATGCCAGAATTATATTACAAGTATGAGCTACCTCATACTCGTAGGCTCAAGAAGGCTTCTTAAAGTAACATTTGAAGTAAGATTTCAAATTCACCACAATAATGTGAGCCATATTTGGAGTATAATACAATAATAAGTTAAATGAAAAGTAGATACAAATACTAACTGGTAGAGAAGAATGACAGGAGAAAGAAAGGTGAAATGTTGGTGGCCTTCAAAATTGAAGAAGTGAAGCTAGATTCCTGCCCTAATGTGACCGAGGATGTATCCCTTCCTTCCACTAGAAGCTTCTGGTAATTGGTAAATCAAGCAGTTTTATAGCATAATCTGCTGCCTTAAACAGTATTTGTTTAGAAGCTCAGTAGACTGTAAAGCAAAGGACAGAGTAGTTGGCCACATAACTTCAAGTGCAGAAATCAACATAGAATATTAGTCTGCTATGTTCAGCCTGTAAACTCAAAGGGAACAAGTGGCTCTGCCTACCATGGAGATTATGAGACCCAGTGTGCTACTAAAAGGAGCTCACTAAAGTTAAGTATGAATGGCTTACCTTGACATTTTCCATGCTCTATCTCCTTATCCTATATTTAGAGTTAATGACTTATGAATATTTAATTTTTAAGGCACTGAGAGTTTTAAAAACAATTTTTCTATGAAATTCTAATAAAGAAAAAAGGTGAAAGCCAAGAGGAAGCAAATTCAGTGGCCAATTTACTTGGCCTTCCTCTGGACCTGAGGGCACCTCCAGGAATCTCCACAAAACCAGAGAACAGAACTGGAAATGGCTGTTCTTTGCCTCACTTACTTGGTATATTTAAAGCCGCTGAAGTTTTCTTTCCTTGGTGCTTTGATTCTTGGAATGATCTCTGGATTTCATTCCTATCCAACCTTTCAGATGTTTCCCAAATAGCATTTCCTTTATAAAATATCCTATAAAATCTCCTGTGGTCAAATATCTGGTCAAAATATTGTGATAAAATTCATCTCTACTTTTAATTTCCTATACAACTTTGGTTTTTAGCAGTAAAAAGTAAGAAGAAAAATAATAGCTTATGTTCCAGGCACTATTCTAAGTGCACTATCTGTAGTAACCTAATTTTCTTACAATCCCACTGATATAGGTGCCATTATTATCTCTGAGGCACACAACATTTAAATTTATTTTCTAGGTCTGTAAAGTGACTATGAGAACAAAGTTTGAAACCAATGACTTAGCTGCAAAAACAAAACAAAATAAAAATTTAAAAAACACCAATTGCTTTAGTATGCTGTTACCTCGCTATATAAGCAAGTGTGCACTTTTCTCATTAAGATAATCTCCACCACCCACTCCCCCTACCCCACAGCACCACCACCACTGCTACTATCAAACTTCACTACATAACAACCAGATTATAAGTTTTTTGAGAGCAAAGATCATTGCCCACTAATACTTGCATTCCATAAAGCACCAGTACAGTACTGTGCAAAAATAAGTAATTGACAAATATTATTCATCTAATTTATTAGTACAATTTATTAGTATATCTACTTATAAAGGTTTGTAATTACTTGTTTTGTTATTGAAAACTTTCCCCACATTTTACAGGTAAAGGATGAAGCTCAATGATACTAAGTAAGTGCAAAATCATAACCATATCAAGGTTCCTTCCTGGGTGTGGCCCCATCTAGGATCTAAATCCCTGCTATTTTTCCTGCACCACATTTTCTTGAAATGTAAAGAAAGCAAAACCTTTGACAAATGCTTTGAAACAAAGGTTTTTTAGAAAGACCTGAAAAAATATTATGTAAGTTCATGTTAGTTTCAAGACTTCTGGTGAGATGTGCATGCTATAATGTGAGGAGATGTGTCTTAGTGGTTTATTGACAGGTTTTGACAGAGACTAAGTAGGAAATATCATCATATTTTCTTGCTCAAATGATTCCCTATTAAGGCAGAAATATAAAGCAAGTAAACTTCCAAGATCTGATACCCAATTTATGACTCTCAGTGGTGCCGTTTAGCTTTGATATAATGAAGGAAACACAACGGGGGTTTTCCCTTTTCAGGAGTCACCATCTAGAACCCTGGGACATGGAAACTGACCTGCTGTTAAGTGAGCAGCATGGACAAGAACTTGGACTCCAGGCTTTAGCTCAAAGTGTACAGAGTTTTGGTTGAGCTTGTGGATCAGTACTTCTGATAGCTGCAAGAAAAAATGTTACAGTTAGTGCCATCAAAATTGTTATTCTGACCATGAACAAACATGTTGAGAAATGTCTATTATTCTTACCAAGGCATCCTCATACTATATCTGTGAATTCTATAAATGAGTTTTATATGATTTGATTTGATTCCAGAGTAGGCAGGTGTAATTATTATAAAGCATGACCTAACTTTACGTACTTACTGCTATAAGACAACACAAATTGCTAGTAAATAAGATAATTTCTACTCTTAAAACTTATCCTGTATTACCTTAAGAAAGCCACCTTCATTTTTGAGGGAGAATATACATAAGGACTTAAAAGAAATAAATAAATGCTACTCAAATGTTCTGGTGAAATTCTTACGTATTTATTTTACTTTTCTTCCTTTCTTAAAACCATACCCTATGGCTTTCACTTATTCAGTACTTAATAACTATTTATTGAATTCTAAGTATTGTTCTGCTAAAATAATAAATTATACAGTTGAAAGAAAGAGTAGCCACAATTTAAGTAATGAATTGGCTAGTCCTTGTCTCATATATGTTGGTATTAACTAAACTGGTCCTCTGGCTGGTACATATATACAGGACAGACCTAAGAAATTCTGGACTATGGAATATTTAACCTGACCATGGGGCACAGAACTTAGTTTGAGTAGAAAGATAATAAGATATGATTTTATGAGCATTGTAAAATTCTGTTCTTCTGTTGAAATTTATTTTGTTTTCCTTATACTTTTGAGTAATTTATGAAACGCCATGAGGGTTAACCACACTCGTATTTATTTTTAGCTAGTATCCTTTGTTTTACTGTTATAGTTGTCAATTTCATGCTTTTTTCATGTTATTTAAGTCAAATTACATGTTTTCTGACTATCATTCTGCTAGTTAAATTCTTCATTGTTTCCCCTCTTCTACTTGCTGAATTTCATTTTTCTCCACTGAGTTGACAAAATGGCACTTTTGAGCCTTTAATAATTAAGCAGGGTCTGATGGCCTGGTTTTGAAGCAGGGTCTCTGGTGGCAGTTCCTGGCAGGTGATGGAAGCAAACTGCCCTGCAGATGAACTTCTTCATTGAGCAAGAAGATACAGGATGACCTTCCATGCCCCGTGGGTGAGCACCTGGTCCAGACCAAGCCCAGCCTCTCAAATGCTGTTTTTTGGCAAACCACATAGAAAAACAAGACTGTAAAAATTATTTTGGAAACAACTTGGTTCTCTCTATTAAGACTCTCCTTTTGAGCACTGGAAATCATGTAGACTGGTCCATGTATATAGGAGGAATGGATTTTTAACAAAGACTGCATCAATGGGATTTCACTGTGTTCTCTAACAATATTATTCAATTGATAGGGTCTTGATAGGAACTTGAGAATGGATTTTCAGCAAAAGTCTACCACAAAGCCTATGAAATGCACACATACACATACACATGTTAATATACATGTATATGCACATACACATACAAACACACACCCATATATATTGGCTGAAAAATATTTTTCTCAAACATGAAAGACTTCTCAGAAAGATAACTATGTATTTGAAAGAGAAAGACTTCCTCTTTCCAACCAGGTGAAGTGATATTTACTGTTTATCCATGCAAATATTTTTACTCAAGTGAGAGATATAAATAACCAGGGGAAAAAATTCGTCAGAACAACATACTCCTAATTTATGATCTCCAGCCAAGTCCTTCTAAGAATAATTAACTTTCTAGCTATGTTTTGGTTTATAGCATTGTTTCATTGGCTTTATCTGTACCATTTACAATACTAAACAGGCTATGGAAAAATAATCTGGCAGCAAAACAAATGTTTCATGTGTTTAATTTGCATCAGGACATTCAATAAAGAATCTCTACTTTGTAGAAAAGAAATTATACATAGGAGACAAAAGTAAATGAAATTTATATTCCACACAAGAATTAACTCAATTATAGCCATGTACTTTTCTACACAAAGAAGTTGGTATGAAACTATTGACAAATTTTAACAATATTTTAAATGTTCATTATGTTATTTGTAGTAGAGCTTATCCTGTATTGTGTCCATAGATCAGGAGTTTTATGTGTATTTAAGTATATTATATTTGCATTGATAACTTTACTTTGGTAAAGCTCCTCATTTTTGGTTATTTTCCTAATACTACATGTCTTATGTGTTAGTGCTGGTATGTCCATAGAATGGAACATAGTTTAAAGGACATACCTAGTTTACCCAGTTAATATTTGAAGAGTTGAGACTAGACTTCAGCTTTGTTTGACTTCTAATCCTAGGATATTTCCATTGAAAATATGTTCCTTGAACCAGCTGACAAATGGATAGAGAGGAAGATATATAAGAGAGATCTGGCTGAATGAGTATTGGAGAGTTTTTTTAAGGCAGCATTTTAGTAATCATACTGCCATTTCTGATTTCTCTGTAAAGCACACAAGTTATAATCCACCATTATCAATGTCTCTGACAATACAGGCCACAGAAATAGACAATCCCTAACACTACCCTCAGGACATTGTCTCTATCAGTTTATAAAGTTTGTAAATAGTTGAGAGAGTCTTGGATATGAAAAGAGAAAAATAAACTGCAATCTACAGAAAACTATGGCAAGAGCTTAAATGAGAAGAACAGACATCTTGCCTGATAAAGACTCAAGTGAAATAACGTGTGATCACAGGGAGACTGAACCTGCTGAAGCGACTTGAGTTTCTTTTTTCTGTCTAGTGAAAACTGTGTTTGCTTAGCAAATTTCATTTATCCTTTATACTGTCATCCCTATCCTGTTGCTCTTTTACACAGGCCATTTCCTATTCTACTTAAGCTAAACAGTCATGTTCCAAAGAAACAACATATTATTCTTGGTATCTGCATGTTTGGTAGAATATGCCTGTGATTCAGATGCAACCCACACTTCATTTAAAATGCCACTTAAAAGGACTGTGAGGACTCAATGAAAATGCTAGAAAAGGTATGATCAAAAGGATCTTGTGAGAGGGACCTGTTTTAGGAAAAACCCCAATTCTCCTCCTTGTCTTCTTCACAAGAGATGAAGATTGACTGCAGCAGTCAGAATCAACTAGGTTTGACTGAGGTAACAATGGAAAATTATCAGGGACTGGAATCAACAAAGGCATCTTTCTTGTTCACACCTCATAACCACTGCAGGTAGGCACTCATTATGATCACATGGGAGCCAGGCTGGTAGAACAATCATCTCAAGCATTTCCATTTAGTACTGCATGGGAGGGAAAAAGAATTCTCAAAGTTTTATGAACTCATGAGTTTAGGTTGGAAAGAACATAGATCACTGCTCCCAACTCATTAGCCTGCATGGGAGTCTTGTGGCTCTGCCTACCCAGAAGAGGTACAACACTATCATATACCCAGAACGCAGTGGGCTAGAAATATTTAGTCAACAGAAGTGATTGCTACCATACAAAGAACATATTCAACATCTAAATCATTTTAATGAAATCATTAGGGGAAACCTCACTCTGAATATTAGAATGAACATGTCAATTTCTGAAAAATGAAAAAAAAAATGGAAGTTCATGATCCACAGAAAAGTTGGTAAACTAATAAAATGTACAACCCAGCTTGCCGAAATAGCTCTGTCAGGAGAGTGTTAGACTGAAGATATAAAATGTACAACCCAAAGAAGGGGTACAAGATGAAGATATAGATTCAAAATGGGCTCTGGCAAATTTACCAATGACAAGCCTACTCAAAGGCAAAATACGAACAACTTATCCATGAAAGCTGTTATGAGGAATGCAAACCTAGCCATGTTTAGAAAGAACTAGGTCAGGGATGACCTTGGAGCTGACCCAGTTACTCTATCCTGGTTCTGTCACATAACTAAGACAGCAATTGAGAAAGCTTCTTGTCATCAGAGGAGGACTTTTCCCAATTCATACAACACAATTTCTAGATTAAGTCATGGGGAAGCAATGGAGTCTAATACTAAATTCTAGCTTACACTGGTCCACCGAATCCCATTCTTTTGTATCACAAGAAATTCAGCTTGATTAAAGTGCTAAAAGAATATTCTGGATGATGTACAAGAAGAACAAATTGTCCATAAATGCTTCCTTCCCTTTTATTGCTCTTCGTCAGCATTAAGCTTATCTCATTCTGACATACACCTTTGGTCCAAATCTTACCTATTCTTCTTTCAGTTGTGGTTTTCCTATTTCTATGACCTTCCTTGTGAGCTCCAGAATGTCTATAACCAATCCCCATGTTAAAAATTCAGAAATGACAGGGCAGACCATGTGGGCTTACAGAAAATAGTCTGAAATTTTTAATTAAATTTCATAGTGTATCTTTAATATCTTAAAATTCTATAAGCAGACTATTCAATTTTCAGAAGTGCATTTCCTTTCTTCCTTAGATTTAGAATTATGTATCTGTCAAGTGTCCAATGTAATACAAACAGACAAGGAAGAAACTACTGTTTGTGGTCCACATTTTTCCATAGTCCTTTTTATTCTTTTTAAATATTCTTACGCCCTTTCTGGATTCTGAAAGATAACACACATAAGTTCCCTATCTCTCCAGCACAACATCAAAATTTTCACAGAGTATGGTGACCTTTCTCTTATCCAGGAGAGACAGATCCTATCTGTCACCCCTCAGGAGTAGAGAAGCAAGGGAGGGGCAGTGCCTGGCAGGCAGAGTTGCTCCATACTTGAGCAGCTGGCCTCAGGATAGTTGTACGTGCTCTCTGATGAGGTAACTAAGGGCAAGAGAGCTTTTTTCTCACTCACTGGAGACCTGAAAGTAGTACTAGTAAAGCCCCCCCAGAAAGAGGTCACTTAATTAACCCAGCTGCTTCATCCTGATAACAGGGTCAAGTACTTCTCATGAAGGAATTCTCAATTTATTTCACAGACAAAATAGCTTGATCCAGCCAGAATTTCTGCTGTCCTAGGAATGCTCTCAGAGCAAGATCAGGGAGGTGAGCCAAGAGCTCTTTGCTGGACTTTGGCCTCCCATTCTTCACTGCCCCATGGCAAGGATCCCAGTTCCAATGCTGGAGGTTTGCACTATTCTTTATAGGAAAGGAGTCAGAGCATGAAGAGAGGGGAAGTGATCAGTCCTTTGGAGTTCAGCCTTCAATCAAGGGCTTCATTCCTGTTGCTTGTTTGGTTTGCATTTTTCTTTAATTCCTTTGTATTTTATTACAGTAGAAGTCAGTTGGTTTTGCCTTCCCTGTGTTTCTTTCCCCTCTCTCTCATTTTTCCGTGAAGAGCGATGGCCTTCTCTGACCTCACTCCATTTAGTTCAGGAAGGGCTACCCTCCGCTCCCTGATCCACAGAGGGTACGAAACATCTGAGTTGTCATCTGACAGTTGTCTATCACCATGACTGCAGGGACTGGCTAAGAGGTATCCATTCACACACATTGGACTGGTGAGGACTGTAAATCTAGGGCTTTTACTGGTACTATCAGAGAAGACACTGCCTGTTTAGATGGTTTGTTATGGCCATCCTGGCTTTTTTGTGTTGGCTTCATTCTTGGACAGGCTTTGCAGATGGTAGCAAGGAAAACAGAGAGGGATGGAGAGAGGAAAGTAATTTAGAGACATTTTGAGTGGCTCTGAATTCTTCCATGCCTGAGCTATATCTCCAGACTTTTAAATTAAATGAGCTCCTAAACTCACTTCTTTATCATAAAGCTATTTAAGTGAGTGAGTCAGGTAAAATGGATCAAAAGGTCCCACCTGGACTGAAAAACACAGGTCTTCAGTGGGCAGCTTATTTCACAGGATGTCCATATATATCTTGGTCTTACAAGTTGATTTCATTTCTCTGCCTTTCAATCAGGGTGATAATGTTCTCAAAAACAGAGGCACTAATCTTTCATGGGTTTTGTGAAGTCATGGTGTTTACTTAGGTTTGAGTCCTGAAATAGGCTGATATATAGGCAATTTCCTTAATCAGAGTTACGATCTCTAGCATGGTGTCTTATTTTCCTTTAAAATTATAGAAGTCGTCTGCTATAAATCTGCATAACATACATCAGCTCATGCCAGTAATATATATTCTTCTTTCTATTGCCCTTGTGTTCTTTTCCATTTTGTGCAATTTCTTTCATTAATCTTCTCTTCCCTTTCTCTCAGCATCCTCTCTTCTACCACATGTTCTTGACTGTAGTCCAAATAGTCCATTTAATAGGCCTAATGAAACTTTTTTCTTTCTGTATTTATCATAAGATAATCATTAATGTAACTATTATCTACTTACCACTTATTGGGCATTTATTATAGGTCAAGTGATTTGTTATATCATGTTTTAACCCTCTCAAACACCCTGTGGGATTGTCCTGACCTGGGCTAAATTATTTAACTTTTTACATCCTTGCTTTCCTCATCTATAAGAGATACATGGATGCCAGAGCTGAAACTTAAAAACATGATTTACAATTTTCTAAACCTGTGATCTCTAAACTTGTGTGATCTTTCTACCAAAATGGTCGAACTCCCTACATGTGTGCCAAATGCTAAGTCACATAGTCACATAGCCGTTCAACAAAAAAAAAAGAAAAAGAAAAAGCCAGTTGCCTTCAGATCTTTGATTAAATGGTTCATTGATGACTAACATCAGGCTGCTGGGACTTTCATGTAGCCCCGTGACTGTGACGATGAGGAAAATACCCAGAAGAAACAGAGAATGAAGGGAAAGAAGTCCAGGCAACATAGGCAGTCAAAGCATAAGTATAAATGATTTCATAGAAATATCTTTCCACATTTCCCCACAAGGAATAATGTAGAAAATGTTGCACATTTTTAGAAAAAATGAAACTGGTAGAAATAAAGATGCCCAGATGATGTATGCCTGGTAAAATAACTGTTTCTAAACCTGGATACCGTCTATAACAGAATTGATTATAATGTGGATTTCATGGAAAAGTCCTAAGATTTCCAAAGGAGGAGCAACTCTAAATGTTCATACCTAAATGTCTACTTTCTCCTAGATTTTTAGCCCTGCCATAACAAGAAATAACACTTATTCTCTTAATAGATTATGGTACAAATAATAATTTGTAGAATATAATGAGAAGATGAACATTGGGCAGGGCAGACTCAAATCAGATGCAGATTTGAAGGGTTGTCTGCTACCTGTCCCTCAAATGCACTTCACTAGGAAATGGGTCTCCAAGAGGGTTTTCCATGATAGCTGTGTTCTTCATTACTTGCATGCAGAGAAAATTAAGAGCGTGAGTTTTCTGACCAGTGAAAAAGTGGCAGTTGAAAGAAGAAGGCATGCTAGGAAGTGAGCCATGCCATAATTTGAGGTTAATAAGGCTGTTGCAAAAGGTTCTCAGGCCATCTTGGAGGACAGTAGATCATGAAATTGGATTATGGGTTTGTGCAAAGTAAATCAAAAAGTTCCATGAACTCACGGGAAGTAATTGAGAAACTAAAATCATTAGGTTTCTAAAAGAACAAAAGACTGAGACTGATGATCATTGTAACTGAAATGGATGAAGAGTAATATTATATGAGAAATGGGTTTCTACCATAGTCAATAGAGGTGAATCCAATGTTACTCATTCATTATGAAACAAATCAGATCATCTTAATAAAGTGATAAAGGGATTAATGATTTGTGTAAAAGTTGTACCTTTTAAAAAAATGTCATGTCATTTGAGTATTATGATGCTTGTGGTAAAAATAAGTAAAGTAAGCTATAAGTGGGTTCCTTGTCTGGGCATTGTTCAGCTACTTCTTTTTTTACTTAATATCTTAGACACTTTTTAATGTGTGCATATATGGATTTACTGAATTCATCCTAAACAGTCTGCAGTATTCCACAGTGTGAATAACGCATGCTTAATATACACTCTGGTATGTGTGTTCTGGAGAAGCTGCAGTTAGGGTCACCAGTGTGTGTATGAAAAACAAAAGAGCAGAAAACAGAAGACTCCACCAACAGGTGGTGCCCTTACTCTTGAGCCCAGACTCCCCGAAATCCCTCTGCTGCTGTGGTGGTCACATTAGCTCAAGCTGCAGGAAGAAACTGAAAATGCCTTCCAGGGGACTCACCTGCTCTAGATCCTCCAATGACCTTTTGTTTTCCCCTGTTGGATCCTGATAGGGCAAAACAAAGAGCTCTGCTGCAGTGGGTAAGCCAGGCAGTACTGCCACCAGGATGTGTGGGCTAGGAACCCCTGTGGCCTGAAGGAGAGACAAAGAGACCCAGTGAGTTCTGGAATTACAACAAGGGGCCAGGTATCTGGCAGAGGTGGGGTGAGAACAAAAGACACAAAGGAATATGAAAGCAGGGGTCTGGGTGTTCATAGCATGAATGTATGTGAGAGGCGGCACCTGGTTACAAGTGCAGGCTCTGGAGTCAGACTGTCCAAAGTTTTATCCCAGTCTCACTGTAAGAGATCATAACTAGATGTTTATCTTTTCTTTGTTACATTTCCTTAAATACAATATATGGACAATAGCATGCCTGACTTGTTAATGAGCAATTTTGAGAATAAAATGAGTTACACATGAATCATTTCTGCTGGGATATTAGCTCTTCTTCCTAATGGTCATTTCCAGTAAATGGACCAGACCAGTGAGAAGACCCTGACTTAAAAACCTCTATCATCTGCTCCCCATGCCTTAGCCCTTTTCTTCATCACTCCACTAGGGTTCAAATTGATGCAATCACCTGAAAGTTCTCCATATCTCAGCCCCTAGGTGGTACCTGGTGACTTTGCCACAGCCTCAGAACCTGATGTCCAGCTCTGCTTCCTGAAGTACTCTGAGCTCTGCTCATGGTCATGCTAACCCTCCTGTTAAAACTACAGGTATCCCTCCAGAACTTCCTCTTTGTCTTTTCACTTACTCTGCTCCAAGCTTATGTTCCTGAGCCCTTTCGCTATATCATCTAGAACAAAATAGCTATAATCCTAACTTCTATCTTTGTGACCACTCAGAATACCACTTGATTATTTCACTAGGACTTCCAACAAACATGTCCAAGAAAAAAAAAAAGAAACAGACGTTTTCATTTTCACACCCCAAATCTTTTTTTTTAATTAATTAATTTATTTATTTATTTTTCATTTTTCTTTTATTATTCATATGTGCATACAAGGCTTGGTTCATTTCTCCCCTCTGCCCCCACCCCCTCCCTTACCACCCACTCCGCCCCCTCCCTCTCCCCCCAACCCCCTCAATACCCAGCAGAAACTATTTTGCCCTTATTTCTAATTTTGTTGTAGAGAGAGTATAAGCCATAATAGGAAGGAACAAGGGTTTTTGCTGGTTGAGATAAGGACAGCTATACAGAGAGTTGACTCACATTAATTTCCTGTGCATGTGTGTTACCTTCTAGGTTAATTCTTCTTGATCTAAACTTTTCTCTAGTTCCTGGTCCCCTTTTCCTATTGGTCTCAGTTGCTTTTAAGGTATCTGCTTTAGTTTCTCTGTGTTAAGGGCAACAAATGCTAACTAATTTTTCAGGTGTCTTACCTATTTTCACCCCTCCCTTGTGTGCTCTCGCTTTTATCATGTACTCAAAGTCCAATCCCCTTGTTGTGTTTGCCCTTGATCTAATGTCCACATATGAGGGAGAACATACGATTTTTGGTCTTTTGGGCCAGGCTAACCTCACTCAGAATGATGTTCTCCAATTCCATCCATTTACCAGCGAATGATAACATTTCGTTCTTCTTCATGGCTGCATAAAATTCCATTGTGTATAGATACCACATTTTCTTAATCCATTCATCAGTGGTGGGGCATCTTGGCTGTTTCCATAACTTGGCTATTGTGAATAATGCCGCAATAAACATGGAGGTGCAGGGTGCCTCTGGAGTAACAGTCTTTTGGGTATATCCCCAAGAGTGTCACACCCAAAATCTTAATTCTGCATTTATTTGACCCAAAGAAGGCCTGTCCTAGCTTGAAGCCATACATTTACCTCTGATAGTGTGCTCTCCTTTTCCTGTTATGTCTAATCATTTTGTGACACCTAGACACGTCAGTTCCTACACTAATGAGCCTTCCTTGGCTCCTTCCTGCTTAAACATCTGCTGTTGCTATCTTGACCCAGCCTCCATGAGCACTCCCCTCAAGTTTGGCAATGGCCACCCCATCTCCAGGAGGCAGGCCACTCCTTCTGGACTTACTTTCTTATCGTCCAACTTCAATCACGTTCCCTTGTTCAAAATGCTCACAATCACTCCTGTTGATACTTATATTAAGTAGATATTCAAGGGTTTGTAGAACACGACTGTATCCTTTCCATCCGAACTAACAATCTACAACTTAGGCCTTTTATGCTACATCCAAATGGAATGATACATAATTTCTCAATATTTCAGCCTTTTCCTACAAGTTTTTTGTGCCTGCCTGCCATTTTCCTCAGAATGTCTTTGCTCTTGGAATCCTCCCTATCTTTCAGGAGTCATCTTAAAGTCACATTATTTCAGTACATTTTTCACAATTTCCTTATTAGGTGATTGTTTCTGAACTATCTTTTTTGAAGCAGCAATAATTACATGTACTGGTACTTACTGTGTGCCTGGCATTGTGTCAAATAAATTAGTAATATGATTTTCTAAAACCTTCCACAACAATTGTTGTGCCTCACTTTGCAGGTAAAGGCAAATCACAGGTTCAGGGCCTCAGGAACGGGACTCTGAATTTAATGTGCAGTGTGTTTATTAAGAAGTACTCTCAGGAACAGCATCTATGGGAATGAAGAAAAAGAAGCAGGCATAGGCAGGTAGAGAAGTGATAGTCTCAAAAGACTCTGGGAGACAGACTGACCTTCAGGGTTGTCTTAAATTGAACAGAAAAGACCAAACTTTTATATAATCACATTAGTCCATCATTGGACTTGAACCACTCTAGAAAATGATATGACCTGGAACCACTGCCCACACAATCCCCAGAAGCTAAGACAAGTCTCTTACTGAAAAGGGATCTGGGTGGTGCATCTTTATTTCAACTTCAGGAAAAATGGGAGGTGCATGAAGGTTAAACAGTGGTTCAAGATCATCTAGGAATAAACTGACTACGCTTATGAGTGTTGGTCTGACTGTGAAGCCTGCAATGGTAACCCAAGCTCTATGCCTCCTTTACCCTGATGACACAAGTTGGCCCATGTTATAGCTGACCTATATTATCTTATGCCCCTAGATTGCAAACTCAGAGATTAAGTTCAAATCATCCTGATTATACACAAAAATGTTCACTGAATGAAATTTAATTAAAAATTTCATTCTGATATGTTAATATCAAAAGCCAATTTGAGGACAAAAAGGCAACCAATTTTTTCTTTCACCAAATTCTGTCACAAAATCAATAGGAAGAAAATTGCAAATAAACTGATGCTAAGTTGGTGAATCTCTTGTAGAGGTTATCAGCATACACTTAATTGGCAATGTGATCCCTTAGGACTTAAGAAAGTGGCCAAGTATAATTATTCATCTCAAAGACAAGGTGGGATGCTGGGGACCAGAGGCTGGATGAAATGCTTTTTTGGGATTGGGTAACTAGGGAACCTTGGAAACCAAAAGGTATTAACTGTTCCCCCCTCCCCACATCATCACCAGCACCCTGTCCTGAGAGATGTTGAGCCAACACATTTATTATGCATTTAGCAGACTATAATGTGCAGCAGCCTAGAAACAGTGATGACCAGTAATTTCTAACCTATTGGACAGCCTAGAAGGCTGGTCATTGCTGAACTAATGTCTGGATTATGAGTCAGTGGGAGAAACCAGGCAGCTGTCTGGAAAACCTGTAGAACACTACAGACTGAAAGAGGCGGGCAGTGAGTACATTGAGGGGTATAAGTCAATCTCTCTTAGATAGCAGGGAAGAGAAATCAGTTGTTGCATCAGGGATGGACAACTCCAAGGGCAAAAAATCTAACTGCATTCAGGCCAATGGACAAGCAGTTATGCCTCCTGGTGGCCACAATGTTTAACCATCAATAATATAGTGGATGCTGAGGATCATGAAGGTAGAGATGACATGGTAATTACTCACAGCACCTGAAGATACTCCTTAGCCACCCTAATCTTCCATCTGTCTCTGTCGATCTTTGTAAAAAAGGCAAAGAATAGCAGTAGACTGGAATGGTGTGGAAGCCATAAAATCAGGATTCTAACTTTGATGGTCTGACTTCCAAACCTGAGCTAAAACTACATGACTTTGGGCAAGTTACCTAATGTCTCTTAGTTGAGTTTTTTGCCTGTAAAATGGGTATAAATATAGTACAAATATCATAGCTCATTTTTATACTAAAATGTGGTTAAATAATATAAAGTGCTGAGAACAGTGTCTAGAATATTATAGATGATAAATAAGGATCACAGAGATGATGGTATGGTGAAGGGTCTGCTGGGAGGCTAGAGTTGAATAAGATCTCCTTCCTGAACAGAGGTTATCTCAATGCCTTTATGCCATCATTGTTTTGTATCAAGTGCACCATATTTTGGGAGCAAGAAAAACATGTGAACAAAACTAGATTGATTTTTCTCTTGGGCATCCTAGGAAAGGCAGCTCATGTCTGATTTCCTGGGTGTGTGAACTAAGTCTAAGCAGTGCCATGAGCAGCTATCCCACTTCTCTGCTCACTCATGAATGTGGAGTAGATGGGACACATGTGACTAAAATACATCGGTAATTTTCAATGACATCTACAAGGAAAGAATAAAATGCACCACCTTTGTCTTCTCCCAGAATTCTTATATAACTTAAAGACTGTGTCATATTGTAAAGACCCAGATACGTATGTTCTCCCTCATATGTGGACATTAGATCAAGGGCAAACACAACAAGGGGATTGGACTATGAGCACATGATAAAAGCGAGAGCACACAAGGGAGGGGTGAGGATAGGTAAGACACCTAAAAAACTAGCTAGCATTTGTTGCCCTTAACGCAGAGAAACTAAAGCAGATACCTTAAAGCAACTGAGGCCAATAGGAAAAGGGGAACAGGTACTAGAGAAAAGGTTAGATCAAAAAGAATTAACCTAGAAGGTAACACCCACGCACAGGAAATCAATGTGAGTCAATGCCCTGTATAGCTATCCTTATCTCAACCAGCAAAAACCCTTGTTCCTTCCTATTATTGCTTATACTCTCTCTACAACAAAATTAGAAATAAGGGCAAAATAGTTTCTGCTGGGTATTGGGGGGGGAGAAGAAGGGGGCGGAGTGGGTGGTAAGGGAGGGGGTGGGGGCAGAGGGGAGAAATGAACCAAGCCTTGTATGTACATATGAATAATAAAAGAAAAATGAAAAAAAAAAAAAGACCCAGATATTACATTCAGGACCTTCAATTCAATTTTGTAGCCCTATCAACTAGTAGCTATGGGGGTTTGGGAATCTCAGTTTCCTTATAAAAAAAATGAGGATAATAATAACCACCTTGTGGAGCTTTTATGAGAGAGGAATGTTTTTCAAAGAAGTGGGACAGAAATTTATGAGTAAGTATCATATACAGAGTTCTCACTGACCTCTTGTGTTCACAGTTGTGGAGTTGGAACCTGGTCTCTTACTAATTAAACTCGCACTTGAGGATTCTTGTATGCTGTGCTCCTTCATTATCATTCACAGTAGCTGATTTTATACTTAGCAATGACCTAATTGTGAACTCAGGTAGGTACCTATCATGTCGCCATGCCCTTCTTCTCCAAGCAGAATAAGGTTATCAGTGCAAGGATAATGTTTCTTAGGGTTGCCCTCCCCACATATTGCCTACCTCAGGCCTACATGTTTGGGGCTCAGCTGTGAAGATACCAAACTGGTTAATCACACTTTCCACAGGTCCCAGCTCTTGTGTGCCCTTCTTTGCACAAGAGTCACCTCTCCATGAAGCTCTTTAAGGATAGACAGACAATGTATCTGAGCAAGAGAAGGAACTGTTTGCACTCACTTCCACCAAGGACTTTTTGATGACCCGACTGATGTCTCTCCTCCACTCGGGGATATCCGGGTTATAGTCATCCAGGTTTGGAGAAAAGGATAAGCGAAGAGACCTGAATTCCTCTGAAGACAGAATAGGTGGGTTACTATAAGTCAAACAGTTCTATCAAGCAGTCAGAACTTTAAATTTTATGCAAAACCTTCACAGACACTCTTTTACCTTCATACTCACCAGAGAGACCCTTCAAGAAGGCAAATTCACATCCCGCTCTTGGTGTCTCACTAGGTCCTCATTTTCTAAACCAAGGCCCTACACTCTGGCCCATGCCTATCTCTGTAGCCTTTTCCTAATATCCAGTTCTAGACTTTGTACTCCTGGACACTAAATGATCTGAAGGCCTTGAATACAGGACAGGTTTATGACCCCAGTCCTTTGTCTACACTGTTCCTCTGCCTAGAATGTCCACTCAGCCCACTGCCTATCCACAAAATATTCCACATATAGTTCAAACTCTCACTGACTAACTATTCGTCCCCAGTCCCCACCATGGATGTTTCAATTTTCTTTTTCTATGGCACTACTGTGTTTTGTGTATGCTTTTATCATTATATAATTGTATAATAATTATATTATCACATATTTATATTTATTATTATAATTATTCTATTATCTTTTGTTTGCATAAAACTTCATTGAATGGAATTTTTCCCTCCTGAAGTCAGAGATTTTGTTAGTTTTCCTATAGCTCCTAAATTGGTCCCGATCCCCCAGAAAATAGGATGGTGATTAAATAAGCAAAGATTTTCTGAGCAAAATTCCTGGTGGGAAATAATGGGAAGGGGCCTAGAGAGGATATGGAGAAAAATCAGAGTGCAAGGCTTACAAGACAGTGAAAGAGAGGGGAGGAAGTTTGGGTGAATTCAATGCAGTCTGAGGCAAGTTCAGAAAGACTGCTGGGAGAAATGAGTCACAGGCTGTCAACAGAGAAGTCCCCTGTGTCCTAGGAATGTGTCAGCTGTATCCCCTGCAGCACTTCCCCACTGACTGGATCAGTCTCTAGAAGGTGCAGCTCTGGCCCTAGCATGCTGATGGGTTATGGAGCCCAGTGCTGGGGTCTTGGTTAATTATGCTCCTATAGTTGGAAGTGTTCAGCATAATGTTTGGCACAGGAAATAGATCATCTCCCTCTGTTCTAAAACCTGTTAGTGGCTTTACATTGCATTTAGAATAAAATATAGAGTCTTATCACAGCTTTCCTGGTCCTGCATTAACTAGTGTAGACTTCCATTCCTACTTCATATCCTATGGGATCCCTATACACCTTGTGCTCTAGGGCCCTGTTCTTCCCTCTGCTCCTCCATCATGCTATCCTCCTGCCATATCAGCTCACTTCTCCTTCTGCAGACTGCAGCATGGATGGCTACTTCTAATCAGTCTCTTTGGAGAAGCCTTTCTGAACTTCCAACCTCATGTAGCCTCCCTCCCACTCCCAAACCTCTATATACATATTTTTACTAAAATAGTTTTGTTTTCATTGTGTATATGAGATTAGAAATACAAGCTCAGTGAGGACAAGGGCTCTGCACTCCTGAGCCCTTGGGATAATGCCTAGTACATGGTAGGTTTTCAGTTACTAAGTATGAGTCATTTAATTAGCAAATATGCATTGAATAGCTGAATAATTAAATTGCAGCGAAGACACTCAGTTGTTTATGCATTTATTTATTCAATAAACATTTCATGGTTTAGGTATGTCCTGGTGTTTCAGTAGGGCCTAAGTGACATCAGCAATGCTAATTATATATTCAGGGAGCCTAAAAGCCCATTTGTGCATTTCCAAACACTAAAGAGTTATCAAACACATGCATTGAAGAATCTTGCACTATAAGATGTACTCTTATGGCAGTTACTCAATACCAAAGGTGTATTTTTCAAAGTAAAATTGAGTATTTTGAGTCACTGGTCACTCATGGGGAATACCACTGATTCAGTCTGATGGAGATGGGGAATAATGAATTGAATGTTAATTAGCAGGGTGGTAAATGGCAGCACCAAAGATACACTCATGGACTCCTAACTTTTCCCCTCTGAAGGTAGCAGTTTATATTATTCTTTTCTCTGCACCTCTCACTAAAATGTAGTGGCCTCATGTATAAAGGAAGATGTTTATCTTCATAAAAGGATGCAAATGAAGTAGATCCCTCCATGATCAGCAAAGGAAACAGCATGGCCAGGAGGGAGAATGACCTAGAAATGCTACTTAAGTTTAACCCACAAATAGGGTACTGGAAGGGGTAAACAACAGTTTACTCTTCAGTTCAGTTCCTAAAGGAAGTGAATTCTACACATGTACATTTTTTTTTAAACTTAAAGGCAAACTTGTGTCCTGGAATGAATTTAGGGTAACAACACAAACCAGATTTTCTTTCTTCCAGTCTACTAGTGGCTTTGGTTAGAGAAGCATTCCTCCATCAGCTTCTTAGTAAGATGCCTCCTATTGAGCCTGATTCTCATGGCCTTCATGTTCCCTCACTTTTGCTAAGCTTTAGAAGGTGTCTTCTGTTTGGCCATGGGAAGGTTCATGACCTCCCTTTTCTTAGAAAACTTGCAGGTGTAAATTCAGTGTCCCTTTGAGATGTAAATCTTCTACAAACTCTATAAGGAACTGGGAGCTATTTGTCTGAAATATAATCATCAAGAAACATAGGGCCTCTGCCTCTCTGACTCCTTGGGAGAGTGAGAAACTGACTTCCCTAAGCAGATTAACTAACACAGCTGGTCCAGTCACACTGATGATCCCACATACTATATGGGGTCCTCCAGTGCTTTCCCACTAGCTAACCCCAGCATTTAAAAACCTCCTACCTTTCTTTTCAGTTGAGCTCAATCCTTACAGTCTGACACTGTCTGGTATGAGTTTTTTCTTTTATAATCACACCTGTCATTAAAAGTTTCAAATCACATTTATGACACCCTGGACATGCATGTGACTGAAGATGAATGAAGAATGGCAAATAGCTTGGGAATTTGGTTAGGAGAGGGGAAGAACACTTTCCTTGATAAAACTTTCAGTGAGGATACAGGGGTCAATCATTTTATATAGGCTGACCCTCCCTTGACTGATGACTTTAAGGAAACTGCAAAAAGAAGAAAAACAGCTGGGCATGGTGATACATGCCCATAATTGCAGTATTTAGAAAGCTAAGGCCGGAGATTCTAAGTTTATGGTTAGCCTGGGATGTATAACTAGAATTTTTATATAAAAAATTTGTCTCAAAAATCAGAAAAAATATCACCAAGAAGAATAAAGAGCAATAGGTACAGGTGCATAGAAACATTCTTCTGGAGTCAGAATTTTTGCTTTCTGTTCATTATACTTACCTCATGTTTTCTCATCTGTAAAAGAGAAAGCTATAGAATTTTTCTCATAAATCTGTTGAGAGGATTCAATAAAGCAGATTGCATGTATCAAGTGATTGGAAAAAAATGCTGGTTTTAGTAAAGACTCCATCAATGTTAGTTATTATCACTACCATCATTGCTATTACTGGATCCATCACTAAATAGCAGAGTGATTTTTAGCCAGTAATTTTCCATGTCTGAGTCACAATATTGTATCTGTAAAATGAGGGGCTGGACCAGAAAAGCCCAAAAACGTTCCAGACTTACTGTTCTCTCTGTGATTCCAATGAAGAGGTCACCCATACACTTAGACAAGAGGACAGGTCAGGCAACTTATAAGAACCAGAAGGAAGGTAGATGAATACATCCAGGAGGGAAAAGAGTATCCAGTGGATAAGAAACGAGAGTCAAGTTAATTTCAGATCACAGACTCTGGGGCTGATGGGCTGGGTTGGAACCCCATCTCTACCACTTACCAGCTGGGGCAAGTTATTTACATCTGTGAAAAAATATTTCCAGGCATGGTAAATCCAAGCTACTCTGGAGGTAGAGGTAGAAAAATTATAGTCCAAGGTTGACCTGGGCAAAAGCAGAAGACCCTATCTGAAATAAAAAGTAAGGAAAGAAGGAAGGAAGGAAGGAAAGAAAAAAAAGGAAGGAAGGAAGTAAAGAAGGAAGGAAGGAAGGAAGAAAGGAAGGAAGGAAGGAAGGAAGAGAAAAGGACTAGAGATGTGACTCAAGTGGTAAAGTGATTGCCTAGCAAGCACAAAGTACTAAATTCAATCCTCAATACCACCAAAACCATTTACTAGTGTCACCTGCCTTATTTTAGGATTGCTATGAAGATTCAATGCATTTCAAGCACATAGAAAAGAGGTGGGGAAGAAAAGAAAAGCAAAAGCTTTCTCTACTATTCACGGTCCCTGTGTGGCAAGGTAGTTAGTGGTCACCTCGCTGAATGTACCTAGTTAGAGAACTAACTGCCCTGGTTACTTCTTGTTCCTATTTGGGCTGCTCAACCCTCTTTACGAGGGAAGAGGAAGAAGTAAATTGTGAAATCTGACACAGAGCCAGTCACACATAGAACAGTATTCTTAGCCCTGTTTGGTCCTTAGACATGGTCAAAGTTGTTTAAAAATTATTCTCTGGTTTTGGAAGGCAAGTTGACAAGATGAAGAATGAAAAACAGACCCTGTTATCCCACAGGAAATTCTAAACATAAACTATCTCATCAGAGTCAATTAATTCTGAAATTGGGATAACTAATGTTGTTTGGAATAAAAGTTAACAACTCTCTCATTCTCCTGTTATTTCTCTTACTTTCTGGTTCTTTCCTTCTATACTGCATAAACTTTCCCAATCTAATTTTAAATTCCTGTTTTTCAAATTTTAATTTCCCATGATACATATGTACCATTTCCATATTAATAATAAACACTTACATTTTTACCATCTGCTGGTAATACTTAGTTCATACCCATCTGAATAGCTTTTTATGTAGAAAAAAATTTACCAAAATGGGATCAGTCTGTATAAACTGTTTTTTCTATCCCATTTTCTAGCAATGATCCCACCTTTCTATTTTAGTAAATTTTCATTCCTAGTAGTACTCCACCAATATTCAATTTCCCAAGTTGATCACAAAGTATTTTGTACAGCCATTTGTTCAAACTGATACCCAATATAGCTTTTAGTCTAGTACAAGCTGTTTTGGATAAGTTTTTAAAAATATAGATTTGTGGAAGAGATAATTCACATAATGAATATTTCCCTTCAAGTTACACTTTTTAAAAAAAACCCTCAAGATTAGCCATTTTTTATAATTGGTTTTATCTACTCAAATATTTCCAAAATCCCAAGTGGAATGAGTCAGCCTTATTCATAATGAAATCAAGCTTACCCTACTTAAGATGTGTGAGAAATATTCACTCTACATGAACCAGACTGACTTCAAAAAGACAAACCAGGGCTGGGGTATAGCTCAAGCAGTAGAGTTCTTGCATGCACAAGGCCCTGGGTTTAATCCCTAGTAACCAAACCAAACAAAACAAACCATTTCAGGGTTCTGTGACTGTTTTGCTGGGGAATCACATTTCTTTAAAGGAAGGGACTAGACTTGGCTCAATTCTTCCTTAGCTACTGCCCATTATTGTTTATGTGAGGGTCATAAGCCAGGATGACCTCTAGTACCACAGTACCAGATAACTTCATCTGAGCACCAGGTATGGTCTCTAAACTGAAAAGAACACCCACAGAGTGGGAGAAAATATTTGCCAGCTACACATTAGACAAAGGACTGATAACCAGAATATATAGGGAACTTAAAAATCTAAATTCTCCCAAAACTAATGAACCAATAAAGAAATAGGCAAGTGAACTAAACAGAACTTTCTCAAAAGAAGAAATTCAAATGGCTAAAAAACACATGAAAAAATGTTCACCATCTCTAGCAATAAAGGAAATGCAAATTAAAACCACACTAAGATTCCACCTCACCCCTGTTAGAATAGCCATCATTAGCAACACCACCAACAATAGGTGTTGGCGAGGATGTGGGGAAAAAGGAACCCTCTTACACTGTTGGTGGGAATGTGACCAAAAATCGTATGTTCTCCCTCATATGTGGACATTAGATCAAGGGCAAACACAACAATGGGATTGGACTTTGAGCACATGATAAAAGCGAGAGCACACAAGGGAGGGGTGAGGATAGGTAAGACATCTAAAAAATTAGCTAGCATTTGTTGCCCTTAACGCAGAGAAACTAAAGCAGATACCTTAAAAGCAACTGAGGCCAATAGGAAAAGGGGACCAGGAACTAGAGAAAAGGTTAGATCAAAAAGAATTAACCTAGAAGGTAACACACATGCACAGGAAATCAAAGTGAGTCAATGCCCTGTATAGCTATCCTTATCTCAACTAGCAAAAACACCTGTTCCTTCCTATTATTGCTTATACCCTCTCTTTAACAAAATTAGAGATAAGGGCAAAATAGTTTCTGCTGGGTATTGAGAGGGTGGGGGGCAGAGGGAGAGGGCGGAGTGGGTGGTAAGGGAGGGGGTGGGGGCAGGGAGGAGAAATGACCCAAGCGTTGTATGCACATATGAATAATAAAACAATAATAAAAAAAAAGATGATGGATCAGCAAAATAGGCACTCACCATACACAGCGATGGTCTTTGTGTCTTGTAGGATGGCATTCCAGCCGAGACCTGCACTGTGATGGTATTCATTCCTTCAGAAGTGAACTTGAATGATATGCTTCCTTCTAAGGTGATCAAGGGCTAAAACAAATAAAGGCCCAGGATGAGAAGAAAGCCTTGTAGTTAACAGTTGAGATGGCTGACAGCTCTGAGTCATCAGTTCCTCAATAGCTCAGCAGAGGGAGGCTCTTCCTGCTTCACCACAATGGAATTTTCTAGCAGCTGAAGTCTATGCTAGAAAGGAAGCTGGCTATTGCAGCAATGACCCTAAATTATTCTGCCCATTCCTTAAGAATCTGATTCATCATTCTGATTCAGGTTTGGGGAAATAAATAGGTCTGGTGGGTCTTGCATGTTTGTAGGATACATGTCTCCCTTTTGCATAACCTCCTCATTTCAAATAGATCCTTTAATCCAAAGAACCACCTGATTCAAAGGAGAACAGTGGACTCATGTTAATCCAAATTTAACAACAGCTAGTGAAAATCTATAAACTACCAAAGGTTCTTCTATAGGGTGTATAATTTATACAAAATTACAATGGCACACAGCAAACCTGGACACAAAACTGAATGCAAATTAAACAGGAGTGGCCTTGAGGGTTGGCTTCTTCTGAAAAGTACTGTCAATAGTTTCCTGAAGTAGCTGTTATAAAAAGAAACACTAATTGGCTTGTGGTTTGAGGTATCAAACAAAAAAAAAAAGAAAGAAAATATAAACAGTGTTGGAGGGGTAGTGTTTGTAATAAAATCAGATACTGTGGTCCTATAAGAAAAAAATATTGCCCAACTGACTTCCCTCAACTCACTCTGCAGGAATATTTCCTTCCCATCTTTTCTTAATTAATTTTAAAATCGAAATTCATTTAATTCCCTGTATGGAAGAGGAAAGGCTGAAGTTCTGCATAATTAGGCTTCTCAATAGGGACTGGTGAAATTTTTATTTTTAAAGGAAAAAACAAACAAACAATAGATGCACAGAAGAAACCTGTTTAGTACTTTCACCACCTAGTACTAGCTTGCAGGCAGAGAACATGGATTTCTCCTCTGCTACTGTGTATAGTGTGCCCCACACAGGCTGGATTTGTATGCATGGTTTCAGTTGTGTCAGCAGTGGAGGTGAGAGCCTCTATTGTCAGACTTGCAGCAGGCCTAGGTGCAGGAGAGGTTTCTTTCCCCTACATGTGCAAAACTGTGTCTCCAGTTAAAGCCAAAATTCAGCTTCAGAATACAAAAGTGTCATATTATAGTGAGATGCAGTGCACTGGAGGAGCAAAGTCACTAAGTGAAAGCAACTTATGGGAGAAGATGTAGCTTTCCAGTCCAGAGAAGTTCATCCTGCATACTTTGGGGAGGGAAGCTTTAGTCCTACTGCCTACCTGACATTTGGAAGCATTTTACCTTCTGAGAACGGAGTGAGTTGGAAACTGAAGCATACAGTGCAGCCTGGTGTGCAGTAGAGAAAACATAACATAGGGACTGAAAGGCCTTGGATTTCGCCTCTAAGAGAGATTGGAGAAGTTACTTCTGTTGCACCATCTTCATTTTTCTCATCTACAGCACAAAGGCCTTAGACTAAATGAGATTTCAGGCCTCCATTCATTTAAAAAAATTGTTAAACCTGGCTGGTGGAGTGGCTCAAATGGTAGAGTGCCTACCTAGCAAGTGTGAGGCCCTTAGTTCAAACCCCAGTACCACCAAAAAAAAAAAATTGTTAAACTTGAAGCATAGGTAATATTTGGGGAAACATAAAAGGTATTGACCTAAAGAAATGATCATATCTAATTTAGGGTAAGGAGAGACCAATGTGTGTGTGTGTGTGTGTGTGTGTGTGTGTGTGTGTGTGTATGTTTGGGCATACACATGTGGAACTGGGGCAGGGATGTCAGTTGGAATAGATACAGATTGCTTTAGTCTGTCCAGTATCCCTTTGTCTCTCTCTTTTTTTTTTTGTAACCACTTCCTCCCTTCTCTTGTTCATGTGATTCCAAGAAGGGTGACTTCAGCAGTTCCCTCTCCATCTCTGACATTGTGATCAAGGCTAGGTCAGGAAGACTCAATTCCAGGACTTCTGTTAGAACTATAGGGAAAGAGCTCAACTTTTCTGCTAAGCCACAGTTGCTAAAGGTCAAAGTAGAGAACACAAATAGAGAAAAGCAAAGATGAGGAGAAGGAGAGGGAGAAAGTGAGGGAGAGGTTACACTCCCTGAAGCTAGGGTTACCCCTGGGCTCTTGAGTTCCTCATTTCATTTTGTTTTTTTTTCCAGCCAGCATGAGCTAAGCTTTCGTCCCTGGGGGCCACACAGAAGGCCAACTCACCTCTGTGTTGTTTCCATACCACCACACATATGTGAGGGTGCCCACTTGGCTGGGCCACAGTACTGCGGTAGCGTTGACCTCTTTGTTTTTTGTGGTGACAAAGGGAAGAGACAGATGCACGTGCTCCAGAGGACCTAAGACACAAGAGAGAGAGGGGCCATAGAGAGAGAAGGGCTTCCTTGGCTCTACCTTCCCCGCTGAAAGAACACATATGCGCCCTTTTGAAGCCTCCAAACATCTCAGCCACGTTCTGCACTTTGGAGAAACGAATACATTGCCTCCTTCTCCCCCAAAGTTTCCATCCTGTAATTCTTCCACTGATAGTTAATTATGTTTTTTACAAGTAATTTATGAAGCCCTTAAATGAACCGACATATGATTTCCCAGGGAGATGCAAATTTCCAAGAGATTTAATCCTTGGTGATAAATGAGGATCTTGAAGGCCTCATAGAATTCATGTTGCAGGTGAGGGGGGACAAATCACCAAACCATTCCACAAGTGATTATTATTTACTATTTATTGCATTTAAAGATATGCATATTTATAAATGGTTGTATCTGCACGTGAGTGTAAAGCCACCTGGCTAGGTAACCATGGAACATACATCCTGTATTGGGGGTTGGCCTAAGCTTGTCCAGGACAGAGATGCACATGACTGGAGAGAGAGCTTTGTGCAAACATGTTCCAGACATTGGGAAATACACTTTGCTTTTGGTTCCACTTACTGTACAACTCTTGCCCTCCACCTATCACACAGCTTTTCACTTCAGGCTATGCTGTCACCTATCTGGGACCTTTCTTTCTACACTTGTCTCATGGTACCTGTCAGTCTTCAGATCTCATATCCAGCATCTTCTCCTTTGTGACACTGTCTCTGACTTCCCTTATCTGAGTTAAATGAATCAGCTAGAAGATAGAACTAGATATGCTATGATAGAAGTCCTAGTTTCAGTCCCTAGGAATTCCTTATCTTTGTCTCTTTCATATATGATTTTTTTTCAATTCAGACCATAAGAGGAAAGACAATGTCTACGTATGATTATATCAATAACAAAAATGGAATCATTGGTGTGTTATGGTTATTCATTCATTATGTAGTTTCTGAGTGCTACTAGGTGTTGGATATTATTTTAGATGCTAGGGACACCTATACTTACTGGACTTTTGGTACTTTTATGGAAAAAAAGTATTGAACACATAAATCAGGGTTAAGAGACAGAGTGTTCTGGAAAGAAATTTGGAGGCTACTTAAAAAGCTAAACATTGATCTACCATATGATCCAGCAATACCACTCCTGGGGATATACCCAAAAGACTGTGACACAGGTTACTCCAGAGGCACCTGCACACCCATGTTTACTGCGGCACTATTCACAATAGCCAAGTTATGGAAACAGCCAAGATGCCCCACCACTGACGGATAGATTAAGAAAATGTGGTATCTATACACAATGGAATTTTATGCAGCCATGAAGAAGAACAAAATGTTATCATTCGCTGGTAAATGGATGGAATTGGAGAACATCATTCTGAGTGAGGTTAGCCTGGCCCAAAAAGACCAAAAATCATATGTTCTCCCTCATATGTGGACATTAGATCAAGGGCAAACACAACAATGGGATTGGACTTTGAGCACATGATAAAAGTGAGAGCACACAAGGGAGGGGTGAGGATAGGTAAGACACCTAAAAAATTAGTTAGCATTTGTTGCCCTTAACGCAGAGAAACTAAAGCAGATACCTTAAAAGCAACTGAGGCCAATAGGAAAAGGGGACCAGGAACTAGAGAAAAGGTGAGATGAAAAAGAATTAACCTAGAAGGTAACACACACACACAGGAAATCAATGTGAGTCAATGCCCTGTATAGCTATCCTTATCTCAACCAGCAAAAACCCTTGTTCCTTCCTATTATTGCTTATACTCTCTCTACAACAAAATTAGAGATAAGGGCAAAATAGTTTCTGCTGGGTATTGAGGGGGTAGGGGGGAGAGGGAGGGGGCGGAGTGGGTGGTAAGGGAGGGGGTGGGGGCAGGGGGGAGAAATGACCCCTGCCTTGTATGCACATATGAATAATAAAAGAAAAAAATATATAGCAAGCTGGTGAAAGTCTGCAACAAATATCTCTTTTGAATGGTCCAGGGTGAGGGTAGCCCGTGCAAAGATTTTGAGAAAGAAGTGTACCAGCCCTGTTAGATGAATGGCAAGAAAGCTAAAATGTCTGCAGTAAAGAAATGGAGAGAAAGAGTGAGCCATGGAGGTCTGAAAAGTATTGAGGACACATAGCATTTTACTCTTACAGTGCCTGAAACATGTATATATGTGTTGTGTGAGTTTATCCTTGTATACATTGTACCTGTATAAAGATACAAAATTTATCTTCATAGGTGTAAAATACCTAGCTCCTGCTGCCCAGAATTCTCTCCTTTAAGCATCTTTGTTCTTAACAGAGGGTTCAGCCTACACTAAAGGGGCCACAGGCTGAAAATCAAGCTGCAGGAGACTCCCAACTGGCTGCTCTAAGCAGAGAGCTTAATAAACCAGCAGATGCGGCTCAATCACACAAGTGCCTGCAATGCACAAGAGGGACAGCAGGTGGCGCTGTATCACTCCGTATGAATCTTGGCAACTTGACTCAGAGAACCTGGGAGATGCTTTTGTGAATTGGATTTCCCTTCTCTTGTCTTGTACAGCCTTCCCATGCTGCAGGGAACAGCAGACATCAGTAAGACTGGACACTGTCTTTGCGTGTGTGTGTGTGTGTGTGTGTGTGTTTACTGACTTCTCCGTCCTGCCTTCAACATTATGCTCTTGAGAATTCTGAGCACCTAAATTAAATATTGCGGATATATTATACTATATTGCTATTTCTCTGGAAAAAGCCAGAAGTAAAGGTGATTCAAATTATAAGGCAGAGATCCTAAAACAGCGCTCCTCAAACTTCAGTTTGCTTAAGAATCATATGAACTGTTCAGAGCACACGATGATGCCCTATTTCCAGGCATCTGTCTGAGACAGGACCTATAATAAATAATACATTTAATTCTGGAGCATGTGGATTACTAAGCCACACAAAACTCTGGTCTGATGTTTGCTGATCAGCATAATGATGGTATGGAAAGTTGCAAAGCCACATGGTTTTCCAAGTTACACAGATCACTTTAATACTTGTAAATTGCTCCTATATAGGGGAGTAATTAAGAAGATGTGTCTAGGAAGGGCCAGAACATCCACCTCTTTTTTCACCTATTATTCTGCAAATTTGCAGTCTCTTCAGTGACATTTGTTTGTGTAAGGTGGCTGTGATAGGGCAGCTTTCTGAGTAGAAATCTGCCTGCCTTCTGAATTCTGTGCCCCATCCAGCTGAAGGCAATGCTGGCTGCACCATGTGTCTCATTAGTTTGCAAAGTAGCAGACTACAGTGAATGCAGTTCCCAAGGAATTTCCAACTGTCAGGCTTCAACAGATTATCCAGATGCCCTGCAAGAGCTGCTAGCCCACTCCTGGAGCTAGCAGGAGCATCAGCTCCATTTGTTTCTGATGACCTTTGCAAAGCCTTATTGAAAAACCTCTGATTTGGACTCAAATCACCTTTCTGTACTGAAGAGTGAAGGGAATGTATATGTAAGACAAATAGTGGGTTTTCTGGGACAGCCCCAATACAAAGAGGCCCAGAAAGGAGCAGAGGGGAAGCTTGGCAAGCTAAGAATGCCACTAATTCTCCTCTACTTCATAATCCATTAGTCCAAATGCATATGCTATTTTTTGATGATGGGAAAACCTAATCTTACTACTTGTCAGGGTGTTCATAGTTTGCTTCATGGGATCTTAGGGTACAAGACATGCATCCCTTTGACAGAAGAGAAAATTTAGGTTCAGGGAGTGGAGTGACTTACCCAGGATCTGAACTGGATTCGAATACCTGAATTTGTCCAGTGTTTTTTCCCTTCTAGAAAGTAAGCCAATCCTCCACTTATATATCCTGTCAGTTATGTATCCAAAGTCATTCATGACACCCTCTAAGTATGTTTGGGAGTGTGACTCAGTGTTGCTCTTATTCTAGATTCTTCTTAGTGTAAAATGATACAAAAATCATAATGCTTATCCAATCATTGTTTTCTCCATCGGAAAGAAGGGGCATAGTGATCTATTATGGTGCAATGGAAAAATAAGCAAAGTGAGTTTATGTATACAGGAAAGTACATGGGTCCTTCAGGAGAGGAGCTTTGAACAACCATGTCATAATTTGCTGAGACTCTAATGGCATGGAGTTTTGATGAATGTGAGCTAACAGCTTAAAACAGGATTCTGCTTTAATAAAATTAGTGCAAAAGAGCTAATTGTTGTCTTAGATGCCAGGCTAAGAGAGGATTCTACTTATTCCACATACTTATCTAGCAAATCCACAAGATGACTCTAAAAGATTAAAGTTAGAACATAAGTATTCCATTACAAATTATTTCCCACTAAGTTTAAGGTCAAATATTTTACCAAATCCATTAGGCTGAATAGATAAGAAAATTGCATAAGAACAAAGAAACTCATTTCTTTTAGAAGTCATGGGCTTTAGTGGTCCTTAATCTTGAGCAGAGGCTCAAGATTTCCTTCCCAGGATTAATATACCTGGAAGAGTTCTTAGAGTGATGTCATGAACCCTGAGAGGGATATGATCACTTGTAGGAATGAGGAAGAGCCCACAGGGTGACAAGGAGGTTGAGCCATGGAAGACTCAATAGAAAATTCATTTAGACCAGAAGCTGCTATAGAATTTTAAATCCATATTTACATGTGGTTGGGGTATAACAGATGTATACTAAACACATCAGATATGGAAAACAGTTATAAATCCTAAGGGGAGTGGCTCTTTAGGCAAAATCTCCCCCACAAATTCAGTTGTGGGAAATGACAGTGTTAGACAGACAACCATTCTCAGCAAACATGTTGCAAATTGTCTTGCTACTGATTATTAATGGTTGTGATTTTTTTTAAAAGATTTCAAGGTTGTTCCCATGATATTATCACTTTTTTTGCCCTAAATATTGATAGATAGAAGGTTATTTATGATATCTTAGACTACACGACAGCTTATGGGTGGCAGTCATGGACTGCAATGTGTCTTGAACTTACATAGTTCAATAGCAAGGACACTACTTCTAACCTAAATGCTCATGTTTCTTCTGAATGTGTTGCAAAGATGTGCAGGCAGAGTAAATGCTGATGGAGACTGAGTTCCTCTACCCCAGGTCACCCTTGATCTCTAAGGTTAGTATTTACATCAAGAGCTAGAATTGCTGAGACAGGCACATCTGAGTGTGGAGTCCAATTACACTGGTAGTAAGCCTGACACTTCAACTCACTTACTTTAGCTGTCCAAAGCATTGTGAAGTAGGGTTTTTAACTTTTCCAACTTCATAGGATTTTTTGAGAATTTTGATAATATACACAAAGAGCATGTTTAGTGCAAAGCCTGGCCGGCATATACAGCAAGTGCTGAAGAAATTATACCCAAAAAGGGAGATTGAGTTGGCAAACTAGAAATCATGCCTCACTGTTTAGATTCAAAGAATGGAGTATGTGTTTCTTCAGAGCATCTCAGTCATGAGAGTAAAGCAGACAAAGATCAAGAATGACTAATATGTTAGGAATTCTTGACACAACACAACTTGAGCATCCCTAAACAGTCTTGTCTTTTCACTGGACTACAGAAGCTTTTAAAAAATGTTCTAGTTGGTACTTTCTGTACTCAAGTTTCTTCAATGGGCAAGGTGCATGGGAAAGACATGGAGTAATTCCCAACCTTCATATGCTTGGCCTAGAATTTATCATATGAACAAAGCCATTCATAAAGGACTTAGTTTCATTTTCAAGTAAACTATTTTCCTAGCAACCAAAGTAAGTCCCAGAAACCCTTGTAGCTATCACATTTTTGACACTCAGTTTAACAAGCACAACTTAGAGGTTATTATTACCTCACCATATTTACCCACACTGTGAGATTCCTCAAAGAGGGAAAAGCTTCAGCATCTCTTGGAACTGTTTTCTAGTGTACCTCCTTTAATGTTATTTGCACTCTTTCTTTCTATACAACCTTCTCTCAAATGCCAAATCATCCACATATGATCTAGTTTTTAAAGTGAGACAATATCAACAAGGATTATTGATAGCAAGACCTAACATGGGAACATAGAAATAATTTTCTAAGAAAAATATCTAAGAATTTCCTTTACTTGTGCTACTTTGATTAAGCTGTGCATGTGCATTTCTTTTAACCACTTTTGGACAAAAAAAGAAAACAAAGTCAAATTCATGCTTCTGCCTAACAGTGCTCTGCAAATTGCTTGAACCCAGCCTCCAGACTCAAGTGTTATATACCTGAGATGCCTGGAAGAGGCATGTAGGGGTAATGAGAACAACGTGAAGCAATGCATAGTGTAAGATTGTTCAAATCCCAGTTGCTGATTTTCTTCTCTCCTTTGTTGTCTCTCACTGTCTTATTTCCCCTTCCCCTTTTGCTAAAAAATATCTACTGTATTTCTGCTAGATAGGAAATACTGGATTAGATTTTTAAGGGATACAATATTTACGATATGTCATAAGCCAACAACAGTAATAACATACAAGTTACATGTAAGTACAGGACGGCGCTGTCAGACCCCAGACTGTTGTCCACCTGCACGGTCACTCGGAAAATGCCCACATTCTGATACACGTGTTTGATCCCATCTTCCATGGAGCTGAGGTTGACGTACGACACTGCAATGCCATCGCCAAAGTCCACTTGGATGAGTGTCCGCTGCACATCACCCTGAAAAACAGCCCAACATCAGAAAGAGTCAGTGTTTGGCTGCTCCTACCTAGAGATCTGGAGCCTCTCCTGGTCCCTGCATCCTTCCTAGAGCTGGGAGCATATGTCTGTTTTGACAAAATCCCCATGACACTCTTTGGCAAGCAGGAGTTTGCTAAGATGAATACTCTCCAAATTAGAATGCACCAACTCCCAAATTTTCAGTGTTTTGTCATCAGCTTCAATTTGATCTTCAGTTCCTTTGAAGGGTTTGTTAACAGTCTTATTACCCACATGAATAAAAGGCTTTAAATGTTTAGCCTACCTGACATGGTCTTCCAGTGTCTTCAAGACACCTGAATCATCTTCTTTATCTCTGGTTCCCTAACCATGTTGAAAGAAGCAAGAAACACACCATACCTAACACCTGATAAGACATGGAGTTAAGCACTATTATCATTATGATTATAGTGGTTAATTCCTTTATATTTCAGTATTTCTCACAATCAAAGAATCTTCATAGAATCTTAGTCCAGAGAAAGGACTAAGTTCCTATAGAGGAGGAACTTGAAGTCTAGAAAGGTTTCATTATTTGTTAAGGTTAGCACAGCTAATTAGCTGCAGACCTGGGATCCTAACCCATTTCTCTAAACTTCCAGCTCATTCATTACAGATGGAAGTTAGCACTATGGGTAAAGCGTTGAAGGAACTTGAATCCTAGTGTGTTCCAGTAACAAACTGGATGGCTTTATGCAAGTCATTCATCCTCATTTGGCCTCAGGTACCAAATCTTTGAAATGGGCATAATAATACCATGTCATCTTAATTCAAAGTGTTGCTATAAAAACAGGCAAGCAATTAGTCATCTCTAAAATTCTATACAAACATAAATGACTGTAAGAACAATGAAGCTCCTAGAGCTGGTGGCTCTTACCTGTAATCTTAGCTACTTGGGAGGCTGAGATGGAGGATCATGGTTTAAGGGCAGCCTAGGCAAATAAAAAGTTCATGAGACCCCATCTCAAACAATAGTTTGAGTTGAGACCCCACTCAAACAAGTGCAGTGGCCCACTCTTGTCATCCTAGCTATGCTGGAGGCTGAGATCAGGAGGATCACAGTTCCAGGCCCTCCAAGGGAAAAAAGTTTGCAAGACCTTACATCAATAGAAAAAAAGATGGGCATGGTGGCCCTCCAGCAATAGAGAGAATGTAAGACAGGGAGACTCACATCCAGGCCAGCCTAGTCAAAAAGTGAGAACCCATTTCTAAAACAGCCAGGGCAAAAGGAGTTGGAGGTATGGTTCAAGCAGTAGAGCCCCTGCCTTGCATGTACGAAGCCCTGAGTCCAAACCCCAGGAACTACCCACCAATCCCCCAAAAATGTAGCTGTGAAAGACCTACAATGTTCTCTTAAAGCAGGATTGGAATTGTATGATTCTAAGTTTCCTGTGAGTAGGCAGAACAAGATAAAGTCTGTATTATAAAATCTTAGACGTGTAAACAAGAGAAATGGCCTTTGGAATGTTTAGATTGTCAAGGAACAAAGTTGCTTGGATGCAATTGGCGAAATCTAAATCAAGTTTCCCTCTCACACAGTCCATCCTTTAACAAGCTTTTTGTTTGTTTGTTTTTTAAATAGCCTTTCCCATTTTCAGGTGAAAAAAACCCAAAAACCTTTGAACTAGAAATGTGTTTTCGATTAAGTAAGGTTTATATGGTATCATATTTTTTGAAAAGGCCAAGTTTAAAATGCTGACATTTAAAAGATTAATTCACAGGAAAAGGAAAAGCAGTTCAAATCCCATGAATCTAGGTGACCTGCTCCTCTGATCTATGCCCAGACAAGCACTGTGTGTTTGTGTGGGTGTGTGTACAGGGGAGTGAGCACAGCTGCCGATTCTTAGTAAGAACCTGGTGGAGCTCTCAGCAAGCACATAGGCAAAAATATCTCCTGGGGTGGAAAACAAATACCCAAAAACTCAGACATTGTGCAATTAGCTGAATTCCCTTCTCTAATAAATAAAAATGTCAACTGATTTTGATAACTTGTCCTTCATTTGGACAACCAATGTGTTGTCTCATTCTGTTTCCTGTGGATTTTCACTTTCAGGTTTTCTGGCTTTTCCAAGAAGTTGGTGGGAAGTCAACCCCTTGCATAGACCGTGGGGAAGAACCCGTTTTTTGAAACAAGTCTCAGAGGAAAACAGGCATAAATGCAGTGATCCATGCCATAAAACAAGCAGGATACTCCACTGGAGACAGAAGAAAAGAGGAGTAGATAGGTTTAAGATATTTTATGGGGACAGAGTGGGCATTAGGCAGAGACCATCATTTGCAAGGGGACTCAGGCAAGTTTCACATCTTCAGCCAACACCGCTCTGACTGCCATTGAGAGACAGCAGCCACTCAACTGGGAAGAGGAAAACATTAGCTGCTATTGCTTGAATCTACCTTGCCTCCTCCTTTCTGTCTGGTGTTCACCATTTCCCTTTGTGTCTGGATTTAGACTTCTTGTCAGTTACATAAACCCCCTCCCAAGTTCTTTCGAGGTATCATGTTATCTTTTGGTTTGAGAGCACTCTTAATTTTCTACTCTTGACTATGCTCTCTATGCATGTGATAGGCAATAGAAGGGAGTGACTCAGTGTTTGGACTCATGCTTTAGTAAGGCTCCCATTATAAAGCCAGGTTTTAGCATATATGTCACACACCTGAGAGCCCCTGAAGGCAAAAGGTATGGTATATTCCAATCAAATATGCAGTCCCTAGAACCTCTCACATGACAGGCCTCTATGGGCTTGAACTTTGCATTGCAGATTCAAATTTCAAAGTGCTGTGTCTGACTATGAAGGCAGTAGATTACATCACTACTGTTGTTTTGCCCACTCAAGTAGAACAAACTGGACCCCAAGCATTGCCTGCAGCAACTCTTAGGTGAGTGGTAAACCTAACACCCCTGTAACTGATGATTTTGGGGCTCATCAGCTTCTGGCTTCCGTAAGTTCAGTTACTTCTGAGGCAAGAATGCAGAGAAAAAGAAGCAGAGCAAAGTGATGACAGCCCAACTTCTAGATTCTCACTTGTGTTGGCATGCTTGCCCTATTGGATCATTCATTAATCATTTATTCATTCAATCAACTGGCAGGTAGTTATTGGGTGTCTATTTGATATTAAGCATCAAATAGGAAAATACAAGGAAGTAAGTAAGTAAGTAATAACCCAACTAACAACAAATATAGTCTGAGCTTCTGTTTGCTTATGGATCACTAACGAAATAGTTGCACTTTGAATAGTCATACAAATAATTTAAAACTTATTACAGAAGGTGATATGAAGGAGAGGCACACAGTCTTTAAGGCTTGTACAATAGGGGAGCTGGGAAGCTAATTTGATTGGGTACATCAAGGAAGGCTTCCCAGAAGAACTGATGTCTGATCTGAGAAGGCCCTGAAAGAAAGAAAACAAATTAACCAGATGAAGGAGAAGCATAAACAAGGTGGAAATAACAGAGTCCAGTGACAGGAACAGAGGGAAACAAATGTGCAGAAGCTCTGTGGCAGAAAGTACAGTTGAAGAAGTAAACAAGATAGGAGAGAGAAAAAGTGATAACAAGGGCATATAAAATGAGAGAGGAGAAGAGGCTTTTAGGACTCATGGGCCAAGTTATTGATTTTGATATTTCTTCTAAAAAGCAATGGATTGTCATTAACATGTGTTAAGCAGTACTTTTTGGGAAGATGATGTGGTGATGTTTTCAATTCAAAACGATCACTCTGATTACTGTATGGGGGATGAATGAAATGTATGCTTTCAGGGAAGCTAATGAAGGGATAAATCCAGGTAGGTGATTGTAGACTGACAAAAGCTACAACAGAAAAATAAATGTGCCTCTGTGTGAAAATTAACTCTAATAGCTTATTGCTTGTGAAATCAGCTATTTTGAGCTTTTTATCTCAGCATTTATAGAATTATTTTAATGCTGATGCCCAACTACCATGCAAGACCCACATGTTTCGGGGCCCCTGGGGAGGATGCTCAGTCATGTTGCAGTCCCGGAAGGACCACAGCTGATTTGGGGCTGACCAAAGGTTGAGACCCTCTGTTTCAGAATGCTGAATGTTAGGGTGTTTTTTTTTTAATTAGACTCATCTAAAGTTGAATACAATACAGCTCAAGCTAATGCTATTCTCACTCAGATGTAATGCAATTACAACATTTTACTGGGATTGTTTAGGATTCTAAGTGCTAAACTGGAAACAGAAGAACTACACTGGAACATAACAAATAAAGATGCTTCCTGCGTTAACAAGGCAGCAAGATTAGTTACCTGCTCTAGAAAATAAGTTGCTGGAGATATACATTTAGCTTTATGTAAAACTCCTAAGGACTGGGGTATGTGTTTTGTAAATGGTTGTATCTTAGATGCCTAACAAAATGTTGGCAGATAATTATTTTTTGTTCAGCACAATTTGAATATTACACATTTTTTTTTGGTAGTACTGGGGCTTGAACTCAGGGCTCCAGATCTTCCTGAATTGTTACCTTTTTTTTTCTTGGCAGCACTGGGGCTTAAACTCTAGTCCTCACACTTGCTAGGCAGGAGCTCTACCATATGAGCCACTCTGTCAGCCCTAATATTATGCATTTCTAATGCATGTGCTCATCAAAATAGTTCTTATATTACTGTGAAGACACTAATGCATGTGCTCATCAAAATAGTTCTTATATTACTGTGAAGACACTTAGGTGACAGGAAGATCAGGTATGATGTCTATTTGGTATATGAGAAAAACTGGTACCAGAGAGGCAACATAAGAGAGCTAAAATCACACAGCTACAGACTTGCAAAAGTAAATAAATTTGTAGTTTAACTTATACATCTAGTTCAGTCCTCATTGAGTTTCTTTAGTTGGAAGTTGTTTGTATCTTTCAGAACAAGAGAAAGGCAGTAACAAAGATAAGAACTTACTTTCTTTTCTTGCTTGACTCTATAACTGAATTTGAGTTTATTTTCTCCTCTGTCAACATTTTAACTTAATGTTCTAATTAAAGAATGAATTCGCCACGAACTCAATCCTCCAACATCTCCATCTGCCCTTTTGGTGAAGGCAGTATGACATTTAGCCAAAAGAAGGTGCAGAATATAAGAAATGTTTGGTATTTGTAGTCAGTACTCATGGAAGTCTCATGTATAATCGAGTACTTTCAAGAAAGCAAAAGTTATCATTTCTGTAACCAAACCCAGGGCTGACAAACACAAGATTCTTCAGGATCTATTGTTCCTTTAGTCACATGTCTTAATTATAGTCACAGAAACTGAGAAAAAAAGCTCTAAATAATGCCTGAGAAAAGGCACAAAAGCCACATGGGATTTGCAAGGGGATTCTCCAAGAGCTTCAACTGACTTCTGTAATGAAAAACAATCTATCCAAAATGCCACAATGAAGCCAAGATTAACTGAGGCAATGGAAAGGTGTTGAACCCATGCAGTTACTGTAACAGGGACTCACAGAAGAATTGGAAAAACAATGCCACGGTAACTCAACATGACAACCTAATCCAGAAGGGAGACCACTGAGTTGCGCCTGAGAGAATCAAGACCCACTGCGGACAGAAGCCAGCTCCTACATTAGAGGAAAGCCCATGGCAAGGTCTACTATGGGCCTGATTCAGGAATCTTCACCAATTTTGGTCTTTAGAAAGGAGTTTAAAGAGCCATCCAATAGACAACACATTGTGAAAAAATGACTAGTATAACCCAGTTTTATTTAAAATAAATTGACAGCCAAACAGACTATACAGTCTAAGTCTGTTGTGTATTTTGTTGAGATAGAGACTGGATGCTGACAGGATATAACCCAGGCTGGTTTAATATTGATAACCACGGGAGTAGCATGAGCAGGAAAGAAAGGAACAATATCAGCAGGACTGAAACACATTGTTGTTCCTCTACTATTAATAATTCCATATGTATGTTAAATATTGCTTAACATATCATAAATAAACCAGAAGGTAAAGGGATATGTTGAATTGGTGATGGGACACAATCAACTTTGGTTTGGGAACTATTGATTTTAGCCACAAATTAAAACAAAAGTCATAAAAAGCACTGAGTGAGGTAACGAAAAAAATTCAGATATTTCAGCCCTTTCATTCTTATGGCTTGGGGATATTGTAGGGAAGATGGAAAGAAGGAGCCCACATTGCTTGCTATTACCTACTCTAGGTAACAAACTTAGCCTGAATGAGGCCCTTGAGAGGGGAAAGGATAGCCATGGTACAACATGTCCTGGACTTTTTAAAAAAACATTTAACTAGACATCAGAATGAAGTGAATAGAGAGAAGGGCTACCACCACTCTGCTTATTCACGTAAGAGTGAACTCTTGGCATGTGACTTACCACATTAACATTAGTTTTGCACATAGGACTTGTACTAGAACCTACCCTGTAGTCAATAAAAGGAGAAGAGAGATTATTTCTTGGAGGTTTTTCTGTGCCAGAAATAATATCAATAGCTGGTCAGGTGGCATTATTCTTTTATCTTCAACACTCAGAACTGTACAAATTTCCCTAAAATCACAAACTATTTTGAACCAGCTCTTTTTTTAAATCCAGCCCAACGCTTTTACTACTCCTTCACAAGGAAGGACGCCCAAACTGTTCCATTTCAGAGGGGTGGGGGGAATAATGGTTCTCACTCATATTTTAAAACCAAGAGAGTTTTTGATAAGTTTTCACTAACTGCCTGTGTTGCGAAACGTTAATCTTTAATTCAACACCATTTTCAACAGGTGGGTCTTCACCTTCAGGAATGGATTAATACCTTATCACAGGAATCTGGTTCAGTTACTGAGAACTCGTAGGGGGTCATCTCGTTACGTGGACATGTGCTCTTGCCTTGCCTCACTTCCACCACGAGGATGATCACCTAAGAAGAAATGTCACCAATGTAAAGCATCTTGATCTTTAAACTTCCCAGACTCCAGAAGTGTAAAGAATAAACATCCTGGCCTTCAAGTCACTGTTACTGCAGCACAAAAACAGAATCAGTTACGAACTAAAACCCACATTAGCATGGTCTAATTTCTTTCAGAAATAAGTGATGTAGAAGATCTAAGTGTAACATACCAAGCTACGCTTAAGAAAACAAAACAAACAAATATGGAACTTGAAAAGCCTATTTTTGGGAGGGGGCCTCTGGCAGATGTGAGCTGTTTTGACAAGAATGAGGGATATTGTAACGATGAAGGATACTGCCAGTAACTGTGCTGGAAATTTCTGTTGAGAATTTTTAATGGGTAAACTGAGCCCTTCTTGCAGGGAATAAACCAATATATGATAGGCAGTACCACTTGCCTTATCTTTCTGTTTCCTAAGGCAAGTTTTTCTGTCCTCTTCTGGTTTTCCTTTCAAGAGGTGCTCTATTTAACTGAAAGCAGCTGCAGTTGCATTCACCAGGTCAGCAGGGTGAGAATGTGCCTAGCAGATCTGGACTTGAATCCTGCCCTGCTACTTCTCTTCAGTTGTCAAACCTGAGCTTCTGGAGAACTCTAAAATTTCTAAACCTGCATAACTGAGAATTATTTTAGTTCCCCCAAAGGGCTTCCTACCTTTTTGGTTCAGACGATCATTCTCTAAAGCACAGGTGTCTCTCATTAACGTACAGACATTACAGAGCATCTCCTCAAGCATGTAAACTATTTGAACTTTGAGTGTCTGAACCTTGGAGGGATGTAAGTTACACAATGAGATGACAGGCTAGATTTTATGATTTTCATCAAAAACTGAGGTCGTCAACACCAAGGGTGGCAGAGAGAATATGGACCACCAAATCATTGGACAGAAATAAAATAACCAGCTTTTCCAGGCCTTCTTTAAGGTTCTCTGATGCTTGGGATTTCCCTAAAACTAAACATAAAATATTTATAGATCTTTAATGCACCAGAGTGAGAACCACCAATAGAAACCTCACAAATACTTTAATCCTCACTTGCAAATTGCGCCATAGCACCATATGTTTGGGAACAACTGTGTTCCAAATTTCCTTTTTTGTACCTTCTGAACTTGGGAGTCTGGTATTACAGTAGAACAGAGCACACAGGGCAGGAGGAACACTTGGCTATTATATAAGCAGATTAGATGCTTATAAACCAAGATTTAGATGATTAAGGAACTTTTCATGTATTATTACCAAAGTACTGGTGGTTTAAGCATTACCTCAGGCCAAGCTTTAGGCAGGGAAAAGATGGGATTATCAAATGACATAAATCTGATAAATGTTTTTGAATGACTTTTTAAGATATCCCTATTTAAAGTAAAAATTTCAGCTTATGGAATAAGAACCAAAATTACATTTTAAAAAAATGAGTGTGAAAGGAAGAGATTCCTTTCAGGGAATAAACCTGTGCAACTAGTTTTTCCTACTATAAAATATTGTAAAGGAAGTATGTTAACTTTATTAAAAGAAAGAAAGAAGAAAAAAGAGGAAAGGCTAAGGTATGTTTCATTGGAGAAATTGGAAATATATATAATAATGAAAAATTAAAATTGCACATTAAATTTACATACTCAGAAATTTACATTTGCTTAAACAGATTGATGAATACCATTTTTAATCAGCGAGACTGCAACCACACTCACACACACAACCACAAAACACAGTATGCTCTTAGAATCATGTGGTTTTAGGCAATTTTTTTTGGCTATTAAACATTTTTAAATAGCTTTTTCAATTTTTATTTACTTGTATCATTTGATGGATTATAACCAAGTTACACAATACTGCTACTAAATGAATATGTGATTTCTTACTTGGAGTTGTTCATTCCCCTTTCCAAATTATTAGAACCATGTTGAACTTAAAGTGATTTAAAGAGGAACTACGGGGTGCTACCCTGTGAAGGTAGTAATGGAAAGTATTAGGTGACCTTATTAAATTCTCCTAAAATTAAACTGTGTAATTGAAGAGCTTGTTTGGAGGCTTTAGAAGGGGAAGGTTAACTACTCCTATCCTTTGACAAATAATTATTCCTCTACTGAGGAAAGCACCTTCCTCTTAAATAGAGCATGCATCTTTGGGAGGGATGCACACATAGCAATTGTTGGAAGGAAAGGGGAAACTGCCTAAGCTAGCCAAATTCGTCAAGTCAATTCTGGCAATCCTTGGGTTGATTAGATGTTACAACCTGATCACCTTCACATCCTTACATTGTGCATTTAAAGTCTCAGTTGTCTTTACCTGTAAATTAAAAAATAGGTAAGAAACCAGTGGTCCTCATTGTCATTTCTACTTCAGGTAAACTGTGATGTTCTATTTTTCTTGACATTGGAGTTACTGAATAGCCATCTATACACACTCCAATATCCTTTCTGGCTTGAGGAATCTCACTCTAGGTTAAGAAATAAAAGTCATTTCAAGTGCTGCTGCCACATGGTAGAGATTTTCCATTTCACATCAGTGGTGGATTGAGATGAGGACTGGGTGCTGAGGCAGAAAGCACGGGGTAACAAATGGTAAACCAGGAAAGGTTCGAAGGCCTGAGGAAGTTATTTGAAGGCAGGATTCCATGTATGGTGAAGTCCTGGTCCTTGAATGGTTGTCACTCATGTGGATTAGTGGGGATGTTGCGTATGGTTCTGGCCCTCAAGCAAGCAGGGATAGGAGACTAAAAAATGTTAAACCCAAGACTTTTCATTGACTCCTTCCCAGGGATGCTTCACCGAATGGAGTTTCTCAATAATGGGTCAGGATTCTCTCCTTTGCCTTCAAGGGCAGACTCACATTTCTTATTAAGCTAACATTTGCCTCTTATGCCCTAAAAAAGATCAATACCCAAAAGAAAGTGGTCATATATTTCAAGAGGAGAAAGAGTTTGCTAAACCAGCCTGAACTTCAGACACTTAGGTCTCTAGCTAAAGACAACTCATATTTCCCACCTCTTTTCCTCTTTCCCTTTCACCTTAAACAACAAGGGAAAATAACGTGAGTGGCTCAATTATTCTTGTTAAGTCAAAGAGAATAAAGTTGGAATGGACTAAGGAATCAATACATGAGAAAAGTCTCAAATCTCATGGGCTCACGAAATCACTCCCACTCCTTTGTGGGAAGGAGAAAAACAGCGAGGTTCTATGACACAGAACTAAGCTGGCTTAGGGAATCTGATACTATGCCCAACTGACAGTGCCTGATTAACTCTTTGCTGCTACTTCTAAGGCTCCAAATAGGGCTTTCCTCCAGATGAAAAGTGATGGATTCAAATTCTTGTCATGAATTCAAACATGGAGTCTCAACAGAAAGTTTTATCAAGGTCATCTTCTCTTCATCTGAAGCTTGCAGCACCCCCTTGATATTTAGGAAGGTTATTACATGTGGGTACTTTTTATGCCCCCTAAGTCTTTTCCAAGTGTTGGGAAATTAAAGATGATATAAATCTATCTAATGAGGCCCAGCCCTCAATTCCAGATTAAAGCCACAAAAGTTTATAAACCAATGTATTTTTCCTGATTAATTTCAGTCTTTGTATGTAAACTGAAGTATTAAAAACAATGAGATACAGAGGAAAAGTTTTAATTTTATGTCTCTTGTCTCAGATTAATTTTTAAAGTTCTTAAAATATTGCATAGATGGCATCTCTTTATTTCTTAATCTGTTTTAAACAGAATTTAATTATCTCTGTAAACATGCAGTCACTACTTTTTGGCTAGCAAGTTCTCTCCAAATGAATGTCTTCCACATCAGTCTTTCTGGATTCTTAAGACTGATTAGGTCTTTCACCGTCATCCTATGCCGCTGGCTCGTTGCATGGGTTTCTGTGCAAAAGCTGAACGATAGTGGGAAAGTCTATAGGGTTTATTAGATTGCTTGTTTAGTGGTTCACAGGACATCCATTTGAGTGAGTCTTTAAACAGAGATTGTTCACCTCTCATTGCCACACTTGGGTCTCAGTACAAAACACTTTTGATTGGCTTCTTAATATTTCAGGCAAAGTTGAACATGTTTGGCTTTTTAGACATTTTAAAAAAAAATTTTCTTTTTTGGGATTTTTTTTTTTTTTTTTTTTTCCATTTCCTCTCTTGGTTACTGGTTTCAGTTCTTTGTTCTTAAGGAAACAATAATGCATTAAAATGCAATGGTATGTTTGTGAGTGTAGGGATGGATGTGTATGTATATGTGTGGTGGGTGTAAGTATTCTTTGGTAACTGCCACAATGAGTCTCATATTGGAAAACAGACTGCACATTGTCTTGTTGCTTCTAATGAAGGTTTCTCTTATCCATATATTTCAGAGAATCCTAAAAACAGCGGGGAATCAGGCCAAGCCACCAGTGGAAATTTTTCATTAGCCTCAATATTAGTTTATTTATCCTCCTTTAGTAACATTCCAGGTGAACCAAGTTGTGGGGTTTTTGGAATTGTGTTACGTGTCATTTTGTCACCTGATTTTTGAGGGTGAATTCATATGTATGTCAAGAAAATGATTATCATTTCTAACAGATGTCAAATCTGTGGATTTTGGATTTGATACCATACTATTGTGCATAAATTACCAAGTTAGCATCAGGTCCATGATGCCTTTGAGTTTCTTCTTATCAGTCAGAAGTTTCTCTTCTTTCTCTGTTTAGGGCAATGTTTTCATTGATGTTCTTATGTTGAATTAGGACATGTACTAGTAGAGGATAAAGGAAGAGATTTAGTGCTCAGATGAAGACTTTAATGTGTTTTGGATGGTATTTAAATTTTAAGAGTCTTTTCCTTTCATGTTTGGGCTTTATCTCTACTCTCCTAGGGGAAGCCTATCCAAATCCACTTATGTTTATTAAGTACTTTCCAACCATATATGTTTAGGCATTGCTAGCAAGAGATGCTTTAAGG